GCAGCAGACCACAGCGACACAGACTGCATCCTGGTCGCGCTGCTGAGTCACGGAGAAGAGAAGACGGTTTACGGCACGGACGGGACGCTCGACATCGCAGACCTGGCCGCGTACTTCAATGGCGTGAACTGCAAATCCCTCGTGGGGAAGCCTAAGATCTTCATCATACAGGTGAATGGGCTTTGTGCCTGCATGGCTCGGGATCAAGATTAAATGTATGATGTTCTAAGTCTCTCTATCTAATAGAGAGAGAGAGAGCACAGTCAAACATGTATTAAATGGCAGCATCTTGAATACAGTATATTGCTTTGAAATATGGCACAGACAACTTCTTGGTAGTCCCATACATATAGAATACAACACGGTGTATTCCAATGCTTCAATGCCTGGTCCAAGCATAAAGAATCCAGATTTTATCGTCCACCTGTTTACTTGAATTCATTTGATTGATACACAATGTTGTCATAGGTGGATTCAAATGTTTTCACATCAACCTCTTCTGTTTCCAGGCTTGTCAGGGTTCAAAACTCATGGAGGGGGTGGACGTGCCTGATGCGGTTGGTTTCCGTGACGATGACCTCCCGACCCCGCCACAGACACAGACGCTGCCGGCAGAAGCAGACTTTCTCTACTACTACTCAACCATGCCAGGTCAGATTGACTCATCAAATTTTTAAATTTTTTTCGAATGAAAGCTCAACTGTGTCTGTAGAATCCATAGTTGCAAAGTTCAAACTTAGTTCCAACATAAAAAGGGAACTCACCAAATGTTTAAAGGCTTTATCCTTTTCGTCTTCTTCCCTCCCAAACGAATAAGGTCAATGATCTGGAACAGATGGCTGTAACCAAAGTAACTGTTGCTGTAGCAGACACCTTGTGGTGTTGAATTACATTATGTAGCAAGTAGCAGGACAGAGTTTTGAGGGACTGGTCACCATATTACTCTATTATGCTCTATGTACTTTAGTTACAGCTGTTAGTATCTTAGCACACCTTTAATTGTCTTAACTTCAATTATAGTGATTCAGAGCAAATTTTTGCCAAGAAGAAACTGTTGCTCCTTTGTGGCCTAAGAACTAAAGAATGACTGGTGAGGTGTAGTGTCAGGCTCGTAGTGTTGATAATTCCACTTTTTTTTCCGCAGGGTACCTTTCGTGGCGTAACCAGGAGAGCGGGTCGTGGACCATCCAGTCGCTGTGTGCCGTCCTGAAGGAGCATGGGAAGTCTGGGATGGAGATCATGCAGATCCTCACTAGGGTCAACAGGACGGTACGTGTTTAAAGATTCCTATTAATGGTCTGAACTGCAGAGATGTACCCTTACTCTGGGAAGGACTCCTTCTCTTATTGATAAGTGTGGTAGGATCTTTAACATATTGCTAGAGGTGTGTCTCTCCTCAAGCTCTGAGTAAAATCTTAATCTCTTATGACATCTCATTTTCATCCAAGCCTTAGGGGAAATATGTGCCATCCTTGAGGGCATAACACTGGAGCCTACAAGGAATTTGAACGCAGAACCCAAGACACTTGTTGAGAAGAGTATGGGTGTGTGTGTGTGTGTGTGTGTGTGTGTGTGTGTGTGTGTGTGTACATATGTGTGTGTGTGAATGTGTGTGTGTGCATGTGTGTGTGTATGTTTGTGTTTGTGTGTGTGTGTGTGTGTGTGTGTGTGTGTGTGTGTGTGTGTGTGAATATCTGTGTGTGTGTGTGATTGTGTGTATGTGTGTATGTGCATGCGTGCGTGTATGAGTGTGTGTGTGCCTGTGTGTGTCTGCACATGCGTGTTTAGGTGCTTTATCTTACACTTAAGACGGTTTTATTTTCACATCCCCAGGTTGCCACCCAGTTCGAGTCACGCACCCGAGACAAGGAGATGGACAGTAAGAAGCAGATCCCCTGCATCATGTCCATGCTCACCAAAGAACTCTACTTCACACCCAAGATCTAGCCTGACTTTGCACTCCTGAGCTTCTTCCTTCTATAGCCACCAGTTCTCTGCGTGGATGAGGTGTTTAGAGCATAATATCATATCCAGAACTGTGCTTACCATATCCAGGACTATGCCTGTCTAGTTCTATGCCTAAACTGGTTAGGGTCAGGGTTAGGCACAGTTCTAGATAGTCTCTATCATATCCAGAATCAACAGTGTCACTAGTTCTATGGCTGAATCATGTCCATGCTGACCAAAGAACTCTACTTCACACCCAAGATCTAAGGGGTGTCTTCCTTCTAGCTACCAGTTCTCATTATAATTAAGAGTATATCATATCCAGAACTGTGCCTGTCTATAGTCCTAGCATATCCAGAACCGTGTCTATCTAGTTCTATGCATGAATGGATTACAGTTAGGATCAGGCAGAAATCTGGATAGCATCTACACCCATGTCTATCTAGGTGAATGCCTGAATGGGTTAGGATTATAGAGTTTTTTAAAGGCATGGTTCTGGATAGTCTCCAAGTATCCAAGAAGAGAGACTTGCCATAGGCACGGTTCTGGATTAGCCAGAACTGTGCCTGAGCATGGTTCTTAATACAGCGCAGTTCTGGATAGAACAGAGCATTTGAGTGACTGCCAAAGAAGTCTTTTAATTTTGCAGTGCTTTTATTCTGCAGTACTACTGGGGAAATGAAGAAGGCGATTTTACTACTGTGTTTATTGAATTTGCAGTGCAAAAGTCATACAAGAGGAGACATGGAGCTTTTTAGATGGGGTTTCTTGTAAGAGTGCAGCTTATAAGTCAGAACAATTTAGCAATCATGAGTCAGACCCATTATGAAGTTAAACTCAGTCTTTAGTTTATTCCGTGATCTGGCAGGAACGTAGCAGGAACATCTAGATTGAAATATCATGTATGATTTCTTCATAATCTTACTACATTTTTGTATATTCGATCTTTATCAAAATATAGAAAATTTCTTTCTTTCAGCATCTCACTGAGATCTGAATCGGTGTGTAGAAACAAGGACATTGTATTGAAGATGATGTGAATATCATTCCTTTTTCAAATCATGTGAGAAAAATCTATTTTGCATTAAATTTGCTATGACTGTATATAGAGTCTGTCATAATGCCAAAACATGACTCAGATTTTTTCTGTACATTGTAGGTAGACAAGATCCCGTCCACATCCTTAATTTGATGTTAGCAGATTTTTTATCTTACAAGCAGCAGGATCCAGGAATCAAGGGTGCTTTACACCTAAGACATTGTGAAGGGCTTGTTGCAACAGCTAAGGCATTCTCAAGGATCTATTACAAGAGCCGAGGATCTTCCCCAGGTTTCTTAGAGATCTTTTCCAAAATCTAACACTCCTAACGATTTCTATTTTTAAATATTGATCCTTAAAAGGATCAATATTCCTAAAGATAAGACACTGTTAAGGATCTGTTCCATATCTTAGACATTGCTAAGGATCCAGTCCGACAGCTGAGACGTCATAAAGGTTGTAGGGTTTAAGAATTTTTTTAAGGATCAATGCTCCTAGATATTGTTAAGTATCTGTCCGATCGTCTAAGACATTTCTAAGGATCTGCTTCATAATCTTAGACATTGATATTAAGCAGATTTGTTCCATCATCTACAGTGTAAGACTTTCATGATAATTGTAAGACTTTGCTAAGGTTGTACGCCATCATCTAAGAAATTTCTAAGGATCTGCTCCATCATCTAAGACATTGGTGTTAAAATCCAGTCTGCTAGCTGACATGTCCCAAGGGTTGTTGCACTGAAGGAATTTTTAAGGATCTGATTCAATGCTCCTAGATATTGTTAAGTATCTGTCCAATCGTCTAAGACATTTCTAAGAATCTGCTCAATTATCTTAGACATTGCTAAGGATTAGTCCCATCATCTACAACAGTTCTAAGGATCTGCTCCACTATCTTAGAAATCCCCAAGGATCTAGTCCACTAGCCGAGTCGTCCTAAGGGTTGTTCCGCATGATGTTGTTGATCCAGTTGGTGTACTCGGACACGCGGGTGTACACGCCGGGGAAGTTCGCTTCTGCGCAGCCGTAGCCCCATGACGTCACGCCCCACAGCGTCCACTTGCCACTTTTCTCGCACACCAGAGGGCCGCCAGAGTCGCCCTGGGAAGCACAATTTACATCTCATCGTTATTCTTCCACATTTCAAAACTTTCTGCCTACATGTATCTAGTATTCTAGTTCTATGTCTGAATGGGTTACGGTTTGGCTCAGGGCCACCAGAGTCGCCGTGGAAGCACAATTCACAACATGCCATTATTTTATATATATTACAACATTTCATGACTGGGAAGCACAGTTCACACCTCAACGTTATTCTTCCATATCTTTTAAAGCATCTGGCTACCAATGCTAGTTCTATGTCTGAAAGGGTTAGGGTGTGGATTTTATGCCAGCGTCTCCCTGGTAATCAGAATTTACAACATACCATTATTCATCCGTGTTCTCAGAGCCTCTATCGCATCCAGAACCTTGCCTATCTAGTTCTATGTCTGATTGGGTTAGGGTTGGATAATCCGAGCGCATCCAAGAACAGATTTGTATGGCAGGCACGGGTCTGGATACACGTGGACTACTAGTATCCAGAACCATGTCGGAGTAGGGTTCTGGATAAAGCATGGTTCTGGACACAACAGCTGCGGTCACACACATCTATCTACGTTGCTGGATTTTTCTGCCTAGCTGAGACACAGCCACAGTAGCTTATATATAGACAGACACTGGCCCTCTTCCCACTAAGTTAAAATTGTCCTGATCAAGTCCAATAGATTCGGTTTGATCGGGCTTCAATCTGACTACTGTTGTGGAAGCCGGATCAAAGTAAATAAATTTTATCCTAGGGGAAAAGCACGAGTGTTTCCCTCACCTGACAGGTGTCGACTCCTCCCCTCATGAACCCAGCGCAGAACATCTGGTCGGTCAGCTTGTCGCCATAGCTACGTCGGCAGGTGGATATGGGCAGCAGGGGCACCTTAGCCTTCATCAGGGTAGCCGGATAGTTGGGGCGGCTGGAGTCTGGGGAAAGACGTTAAGGGTTAGGTTATACATAATGCCCAGCCATTTTATCTCATGAATAAACCCTACTGCGGCAATAAACAAATGTCCACCAGGCGCTTTTGATCAATCGCAATCTATAACATAACGTCTTGTGTCCCAAACAATTGGTCATTTTAACCTTACGAAGAATCCAATCCTGACAACCGAAACACCAAACCCTTAACTCTGAGGAACATATTGAAATGGTCCTGTAAAATAACTTGAAAATCTTCATAGACACCTGTTAGATGCTCACCTGTGTTGCCCCAACCACTGATGTGGCATTCGTGACCGTCTGGGAACTGTTCCGCGGACGCCAGCGTGACAAAATCTTGGGTCTAAGGAAGACAGTGGCCTGATACTAGCTTCACAGACACCTATTATCTGCACTCTACACATTGGCCTGATAGCTTCACAAACACCTGTAAGATGCTCACCTGTGTTCCCCCAACGTACCACTGATGTGGCATTCGTGTCCGTCTGGAAACTGTTCCGCAGACTCGGGAAGATGCCAGCGTGATAAAATATTGGGTCTAAGGAAGACATTGGCTGTGGAAACTAACATAAATATGTCTTTGCAAGCTTCACAGACACCTGTAAGATGCTCACCTGTGTTTCCCCACCCACTGATGTAGCATTCGTGTCCGTCTGGGAACTGTTCTGCTGACTCTGGGAGACACGCCAGAGTGACGAACTGGTTCGTCTGCGCGCACATCCCGTTCTTCCTCCGCAGCTTCAGCAACGCGATGTCGTTATCCTGGAGATATGGAAATCACGTCAGGATCACAAGTTTGCAATCATTCTACAGTTTATTTTCTGAACAGGGGAATAAGGGCGCTGCTCTCTCATGTAACCAGCCAGCTCCCTCAAATCACTTCTCAAAAGTAGCTACTTACACACCATTTAGTCTATCTCAAAAGGATCTTATTCCAGTAATGATGTAAAAAAAACACAACAATGCATTGATTCTAGCATTGTGTTACTCTAAAAAAAATCCCCCTCTGCCACTTCGCTCAGTATGCTTGTGATCTGCTTCCTCATAGTAAATTCGTCTAGAAAAAAAAACCGTCATACTAATTTATAGTTTAATCAGACCTCTGACTCAACACAAACCCCACAGCTCGGCCACCCAAAACAATACTCCCATACTCACGGTTGACTCGTCGTCGTGCAGTTGGTGCGAGAAGAACGTCTCTACATCTAACCAAAACGTCACGAGACGAGAAGACCTGCTCCGTATCAACACAAACCCAGAACTCGGCCACCCAAAACAATACTTCCATACCCGGAAGTAAAAACATGCTAAACTCACGGTTGACTCGTCGTCGTACAGCTGGTGCGAGAAGGACTCGTCCAGGTCAAACCTCTGCTCCGACCCTTCGTCCACCCGGTTGTTGTGTTCTCCGAGAACCACTGTGTATGAGCTGTCGTAGTACCTGTAGGCAACAACAACAACCATGTTAAACAAACAAACGAAATGGTTTTGTTGATTGTTAAGCCACATTATATGTTGTCGAAATGTTTTGTCATGTCTTGTCAGCAAGGCAAGCCCTTTGTAACATCCACTGGCTAGTTGGGCTGCCCTGGCTGTGAGGGTTGAACATCCAAACCAATAAATAAATAAACAAACAAACAAAATATAACAAAACAATCATTCCAGAGGTTTTTTTCAACATGACATGATAACAACTGGATATCTCCGAATACTCAAGCGTTTCAAATAGCATCATTTTTATCATGAATAAATAAACAAACAAACCAAATATAACAAAACAATCATTCCAGAGGTTTTTTTCAACATGACATGATAACAACTGGATATCTCCGAATACTCAAGCGTTTCAAATAGCATCATTTTTATCAGTGACTTCAGTACCAAGGAAAGCACCAGGTTGCCCCAAATCTTTCAATTTCTTTAAAAGGTCAATACCTACCCACATACCTAATCCAATAACAATCTATTTATAGCTTCTTCATTTTTAGCTACAAAACATATAAAACATAACCTTCGGCAGAGGTAAGAAAAACAGTTCCTTACTCCATGCAGTGCGCAGCTGTTACCACCCAGCACGGATCGATCAAGGTTCCTCCGCAATGGTGGCCGCGGCCTTTCACGTGCAGCGCCACCTAGATGCAAAAGTCAATAAGATAGAAAATGAAAGTCCGTTCTTGTTGATCATTTTTCGCCAATAAAGAGGTATTCCGTCCTCTTGTGTCCACTCGCAAAGTAGTAAAAAGTAAATGGATCAGTGTGGCTTAAAAGCCGTGCTTTGTCCCAAACCGTGCCTGGCGTGGCCTGGGACACTCGGCGCGTGTCCCAAACCGTGCCTGGGGACTGAGCACAGTTTGGGGCACGCGATGGCCTTGTCCCAAAGCGTGCCCGGTCCCGCCAATCACTATGATTGACAGCGCTTCCGGGCACGGTTCTGGACAGTCAGGCTGTGTCCCGTTCTGTGCCCGCTCAGACGGGACGGGCACGGTTTGGGACACAACAAGGGGTATTCTCTCTTTAGAGCACGGTTCTGGTTGAACGTGGACTATCCAGAACCGTACCTGACCATGATTCTGGATAAAGAACACAGCATTACCTGCCAGGGGTATTCTCCCTTCAGCGCTGTGGAGCCTCCGACGATCCTCTCGAACATGACCGGGCCGCTGAGGGGGGCGGAGTCGGTAATCTCGGTCTTCACTCCGCAGGTCCCGCCAGAGGGCTGCGGCGGGACCGGGTCCACGGGGTCCTCGGGCTCTGGGCCCTCGGGTTCACCTGGGCCCTCGGGATCGGGGCCCTCGGCCGGCAGATCTGTAGTGGGGTGGGGATTAAGTTAATTTTCTGCCTATGTACTCTTGCACCCTTCGGCTTTGCAGGTACTCGCATTTGCAGTAGCTGGATATATGACATGCGCCTTGAAGGATTCTTCCACCTACACATATTCACCACGGCACCAGCTTAATACAATGTAGAAATGAAGGACAATGGAGGGTGCATACAAATTTGGTTCGAACGGGAGCTTGACCAAAGTATACGTATTACATAATGATAAAAAGTAAGTGCTAAGGCATCACTCACTCACTCACTCACTCACTCACTCACTCACTCACTCACTCACTCACTCACTCACTCACTCACTCACTCACTCACTCACTCACTCACTCCCATAGCTGTAGACCGTGAGGGCAGTTAGTCTGTCTACAAAACAAAGAAACCCAGAGCTGACCTGTGCACTTGGGGATCTCGCAGCTGCGCCAGTTTCGCCCGTCCTCGTCCACTTCTATGTAGCACCAGGGCCTGTCATCCCGGTCGGGGTTGCGGCAGTAGTTGTGTGGGCCCAGACGGTACTCGCCGCCAGGGTACTCCCGGGTGTTGTAGTTCCGATCCAGCGTCGCGTTCCAGTACAGGCACTCCTCTCCAAGCTCCGTCGTGTGGTGCCGGCCTTGGTAGTTTATGCCTTTTCCCTTGTAGCATTCTGCAATATGTGTCATTTATTGTTACCGCTTATCTTGTCATTTCCTTTGTTACAAGTCATCTTGCCTTTTTATTTGGATAGTGTCTTGCCTATTGGGTACTCTCTTGCCTGCTGGATATTATTTTGCCTCTTAGATACGGTATGGCCTATTGGATACATTCTTGGCTATTGGATACTGTCTGTCTTGCCTATTGTATCCTTCCTTGGCTATTAGATTCGGTATGGCCTATTGTATAGTGTACACATGCCTTGCCTATTGAAGGCCATTGGGCACTGCCTTGTCTGTTGGTGTTGGATACTGTCTTCGCTATTGGTTACTGCCCATGTCTTGCCTATTGGCTATTGTCTTTGCTACTGTCTTGGCTACGGAAAGGTCTGCTTGGAGATAACCTTACTTACCACACTGTTTCTCGTCGCTCTCGTCAGCACAGTCCAGGTCTCCGTCACACACGTAGCTGTGCGGGATGCACTCCTTTTCGTCTGCACAGGTGTACTCACTCGCCAGGCAGCCTAGGAGGATGGTTGGGACACATATCAGCCTTTTCTTACCCTTAGGTACAGACTTTCTGGAACCTGTGGCCCACTAATGATGCCAAAGTCATGTGTCTGAAGTGAGGGGGCCAGGAGAACTGATGAAGCCCGAATACTGTACTTACACTCGGAGGGTAAGAGGTAAAATAAAGGTTTTCTAAGAATGGATAACACTTGCTTTTGAAGCTTTGATCTTTTAAAGAATATTTCAACCGATGTGGATTTTACGTTCAGAACCTTCTTGCACTAAACACGTGACGCCGGCTGCCACGGTGGGCAAGCAGTCCTCCAGGATCAATTAATAAGTTCACAAAATTTAATACAAAACTTGAGAGGGAGAGCGCACAGATGTCATCTTCGTTGACTAAGAAGACCTACCTTCTTGTACTTTACACGTGACGCCGGCGGCTTCTGTTGGCGAACAATCATGTTCCCCCCACGGTTCGTGTCCGCAGTCCTCCAGGGTAGACTCCGGACCCGTGAAGTTACAAAACTTGATTAACTGATTATCTTCATTAACTAAGAAAACCTACCTTCTTGTACTTTACACGTGACACCAGCGGCCTCGGTTGGTGAGCAGTCGTGTTCCCCCCACGGCTTGTGTCCACAGTCCTCCAGGGTCGACTCCGGGCCCGTGCAGTCCACCTCGTCCAGCAGGAAGTCCAGCCGACTGCCGCCGAACGTCGAACCGCTGTGGACCTTCTCCGCTCCTCTATGGGAAACAGCAGGGAAGTTTTGCACATTAAGCAATCTTATTCTTGAGTGCAGGCAACACAAACTACGATGCCGTAGTCTAGAAAACAACCCTATATGTCGCCTGCGTCGTGGCTGGTCTAAGATCCTCTGGGGGAAAAGCAGGGTTACAATAAGCCACCTCACAGTTCTGAATGTGCATGTGACATGTGTACTGAGAAACATACTGCCGCCGAACGAGGAACCGCCGTGGGCCTTCTCCGCTCCTCTGGGGGAAAAATTAGGCTTTAATACTACAAATATAAGCTACCTCACATTTTTGAGCGTGTATGTGTACTAAGATAATACTGCCGCCGAACGTCGAGTCGCCGTGGACCTTCTCCGCTCCTCTGGGGGAAAACAGGTTTGTAACATAAGCCCTGTTGTATCCAGAACCATGCTCAGGAACGGTTCTGGAAAGCCAACACTATCAAGAACCGTGCTGGGGCCCGGGGGCACATCTTCATTCTTGGACCGTGCCTGATTCTAACTCGAAACCATCCAGGCATTACAAGATAGGCACGGTTTTGGATACGATACGCCACTCAATTCTTCAGTACAGGCAACACAAACTACGATGCTTTTGTCTGGAAGACATTAAACATTTTACCGTATACGCGGCTTGGTCTATCTATGTCTATGAATTTTGAGGTCGACAATATGAACCCTGACTTTTGTCGCTTACGGACCCGACTTAATATTGTACCTAGAAAGGGTTCTATTATTTACAAGTGGAATTTAAGCGCGGAGCCACACGTCGGTCACGTTCAACACTGACCACCAGACTTGCTGCAGACTTATCAGATACAATTAGTGATGCATACCTAAACCCAATTTTAGGTTCAGGTCCGGATTCAAGTCCAGAGGTTTAGGTTCAGGTCCGGACTTGTAAGTCCGAACCTAAACCCATGGCATATATAAAATTGCATGTTGGCAACCTTACAATGTTGTCTGGGTGAAACTTTGGCCACATAACATGGAGGCCGACACTTGACAATGCCTGATGGCAATGTTTTCTTCATTTTGCAGCAAAGATTTTACAATCTACGGAAGGTTTTAGGTGGTTTAGAAAGAAAACGGGTATGTAAAATAGTCTTTTATGGTAATAAGTCCGGACTCGGTTCTTGACTTTTAGGTTTTTTTGGACTTGAACCTAAACATTCTTACAAGTCCGGATCCAAGTCCAGTGAACCGGTATGCAGCACTAGATACAATACAAACAAGCACGCAAACTCACAGAGGATATCCCAGTTGCTTGCAGACGACATCAGCGTCCTTGAGGTCCCACGAGTCGTCACAAACAGCTCCCCACTCCCCCATGTACTTGACCTCTACGCGACCTTGACCCTCGCGCTCACCACCGCGCAGACGCACTTCAAAGGGCGCCGCATTTTCTGCAAAGAAAAATTGACTTACTCATAACTACATGTACCTTCAACACTGTAGAATACATTTTATACTGTGGGGTGTAAGTCAAGTTTACTTGATGAGCAGTGTCTCGGTTGGATGAGATACTAGTAGCTGACTTTTAAGTCATTCCTCAACGATTTTGCATGGCAATGAAGCTGCTATCGTAGCCTGTGTGCCATCCTATTTGTATGCCGGTACTCCCTCAAAATCTTTAAGGGAGCGAGTATGTCAGCCCTGGCATACAAATAGGATGGCACCCAGGCTACTGCTACTGAACAGCTTTATGTTAAAAGATATAGAAGTTGTAGAAGAACTTTCTTGCACGATAATTGCACATGGTACAATGTATGGCAAAGTACAAATATAGCAAACAAGTAAAATATGTGTCGAATACGTAAGACCTAATGTAGAATAAAACCTAACATATCCTAATTACTCAAACAATAAGGCCGCTAGCACACGTCTTTGTTAAGATCCATTATTAATATCTTTAGGCAATCATACGTAATTGTTTTAACAAAAGGAAAAAAAGCAACCTCCAACAAAGTTACCAAGAGTACTCACCGCAATTCTCCTCGTCTGAGAAGTCTCCACAGTCGTTATCTCCGTCGCACTGGAACGACTCCGGGATGCATTTTCCGTTGGGACACTGCGTGAAGGGTCCGCCTGGCAGCTCCGAACAGTCCTGGGCTGAAAGGGTGTCAGAGACATTCTTTATGGGCTCGACAAAAGTACGGGGACTTTCTTATGGCCTACTATAACTAAGATTGAACAAATCTTAATACATGTATTGATAAAGTGATCCTACTTACAGAATATATAGCAAACTACGTGCAGAATGCACCCCATTTCCTGTGTCTGACCTCCTGTAATGCTGCCTGTCAATCTTTCCCCCACCCTACGTGTCCCAACCTACTCTGTCCAAAAAGACGCACAAACTCAGATCTCAGCCACCCAAAACAATGCATCCGTACCTGAAAGTAACAAAGAAAAGACACTTACTTGACTGGTCCACACGTTCATAGTGATCCACATTCTCATAGCCTAGTCCACTCAGGAGTCCACCTGTGGTCAACTGGTTCTTGTGCCTATAACAGACATAGGCTTAGCCCCCAGCAATTATGAAATGATTATGCAGCAAGTTTAAACTGTAATTTCCAACACAAGAAATTGGACTCACCCAAATTTTCGACTGTACAACTCCAGTTGTCAAGGAATGAGCAATCCACCGCTTCCGTGACGTCACGCAGATAACACACGTGACTCCGTGAGCAGTGGATCATAGGATGCAGAAAGTCATCTACATCAGGGCATTACAGCCATCCCTCAACAGAGACGGGGGGCGCCACCGACTTTCTGCAACCTATGATCCACTGCTCACGGAGTCAAGAAAACAATCTTAACTCACGTGAGATCACACTCCCTCTTCTGCTTGTTGTAGTCGAACGCCTTGCAGACGAAGTCGGTGGTCTCGGAGCAGATCTGCATGCAGGTCTCCGGGTCCACGTTGGTGTAACCGGCCAGATACTCGTCCTCCTCCAGCACAAGCGCAGCGTTACGGTAGATCCGGTACTCTCCCAGGAACCCGCCTGGAAATAAACAACATTTAGGGTCCTACTGAAATGCCTGAATAGGTTAGGGTTATGATCTGGAGCGGTTCTTTATCCAGAGCCATGCACATGCACGGTTCTGGATGTCAGAGTATCCAGAGCTGTACAAATCTACGTATACGTACACAGAGACTATCCAGAACCGTGCCTGATCCTCACTCTAACTTAAGTGACAGAACTTGTTAGGCACGGTTCTAGTTATGGGTACAATCACTCCCCCTAACCATGAAACTAGCACTACGAAAGTTTAAACCGGGACTATATAAAGGATTTTGTAGAGCTAGAGATGCTTACCACATTCCGCCTCGTCTGTGCCATCCTCACAGTCAGTGTCTCCGTCACACTGGAACTCATTCGGGAAGCAGCTGGAAAGGAGAAGGCAAGGTTTCAGCTGGCCAACTCTCTCTCTCTCTCTCTCTCTCTCTCTCTGTCTCTCTCTCTCTCTCTTTCTCTCTGTCTCTCTCTTTCTCTCTCTCCCTCATCTCTCTCTCTTTCTCTGTCTCTCTGTGTCTCTTTCTCTCTCCCCCCCTCTCTTTCTCTCTCTCTGTCTCTCTCTTTCTCTCTCTCCCTCATCTCTCTCTCTTTTTCTGTCTCTCTCAGTGTCTCTTTCTCTCCCCCCCTCTCTCCCTCCTCTCTCTCTCTTAGTGTTATGTAGCCATATATGATATTGTGTGGGTATCAACACTTCTAAGATGTTAAAGAGGAAATATTGCAATGTCTTACTTTGAAGTAGACTGGCATTTGAATTGTCCCTCCGGGCACACAACCTCTTCTGTTGTTTCTGCATGGGTAAAAAAGGGCAGAAGCGGTCAGGCTGTGTAAACGATGAGTGGGTGATAAGTGAGTGAGTGAGTGAGTGAGTGAGTGAATGAGTGAGTGAGTGAGTGAGTGAGTGAGTGAGTGAGTGAATGAGTTACCGTCGCATTCCTGTACGTTGCAGTAGTATTGTACTATTGAGTCAATATAATTGTAACTCCTGACTCAGTAGTACAGTACTAGGGAGTGACTGAGCGAATGAATGAATGACTGAATGAATGACTGTACCGTCGCACTCCTCTACGCTGCAGTAGGCCCATCGCTGCTGGGGATCAGTTGTGTAGCACCAGGGTTTGAACAGCGAAGCTCCCTCCGGTGACGGGTTCCGGCAGTAATTCCCCTCCAGACCTTCAGTTAGAAAAATCACAGTCAGTGGGTTGAAAAGATACACGTTGGTAAGACTGATCAAAATTTCATATCTGTATCTGTATAACCGGTATAACCGCCCTTCGGTATAACATACTAGCTTCTGTATCTGCATAGCCGGTATAACCGCCTTTCGGCGTAACACACCAGCTTCTGTATCAATATAGCCGGTATAACCGCCCTTCAGAGTAACACACCAGCTTCTGTATCTGTATAGCCGGTAAAACTGCCCTTCAGCGTAACACATCAGCTTCTGTATCTGTATACAGTATATATTATCCTTTATAACCGCCCTTCGGCGTAACACACCAGCTTCGAATTCTGTATCTGTATAGCCGGCATAACCAAAAGGTTCAGAATCTGTATCTGTACATTAGGTATAATCGCCCTTCGGTGGAACACACAGGATCGAAACCGGAATGTGTAGTGATAAAATTTCAAGTACATGTAGCAAGTGATTCTGGTAGGTTTATAACGACATGATATGGCCGCTAGTAGTTCCTACCTTTGTCCGGGTTGAACTCGGGCGTGTTCTGGTGTTCGTGTGGAGTCTGCACGTCCCACCGCTGGCACTGCACGCCGTCAGCGGTCTCACTCACGGTACCCCTGCGGGATGGACGGGTGGGAAATGAATGAGTGAATGAATGGATGATGGATGAATGATCATATGAATGAATGTATGTTTTTGTTGTGTTGTGTGGTGTGTGATTTGAACGGTCAGTTCATTTACAAACTGAAAGCTTTAATGGCTTATACTAACAGCACCAAAAAAGCAGCTTCTGTGTGTATACTTTCCTTAGCCATTTGAGCATTTGCTCTGGACACTCACATATCCAGATAGATAGATAGATAGATAGATAGATAGATAGATAGATGGATAGATGGATGGATAGATAGATAGATCTAAACGGATACGGTTCTGGATAGGACACCCCACCTGTAGCTGCGCCCTCCGTCCTCGGTGCTGAAGCAGTCTGTCCCGTCGGTCCCGTCAGTGCCCGTGGCGTCGCAGGACGGAATCCCGCAGGCGGAGGCCAGGACGGGGCTGCTGCGGGACGGCTTCACGTAACACCACGGCTCCCGGGCGCCGTTAGGGTTCCGGCAGTAGTTATGCACACCTATGAACAGTATAGAAAAACGTGTTGTTTTTGTGACGTTGTCTGACTGATAGTCTTACGCACAACTGAACGCTGCACTTATCTTGAAAGTTCACCCATAAGAGCTTTATGGCTATATGATGATGATAATAAATTACACACCGATGCCGCCCTTGCCGTTAGGATAGCTGTAGACGTTGATGTGCATGCCCGGCTTTTCGTCGTCCCACCACAAACAGTCGTTCCCGTTTTTATCGGTGTCCTCCTTCCCGCGGTAGGTGGCGCCGTCTTCCGTATAACACTCCACTGCGGGAATGGTAGGAGTTGTGTCATTTTCTTCTGCTATATCATACATATACATTTATACAATGTGTTGCATTTACATGCTTGGTTTCGTCTCTCTCTTGTTTACTCTCAGCACTACAAGTACTGAAATTTTCCTTTTAGATACTACAGTAACTGCATTTAGCACATGTGGGTAAGACCCATGCTTTATCTGGAACCTTGCTAAGGCACGATTCTGGATTCTAGTCCATGCGCATCCAAAAACACGCCTTGGACAAAATCTACGTTCTTGGATACCTGGACACTATCCAGAACCGTGCCAGATCCTAACCTGAACCCATTCAAGCATAGAACTAACCACTGGAATATGCACACCGCTAAAGGTAGAACAAAAAACTCCAACACGTCTGCTTGGAGCCAAAGTTACCGTCGCATTTTGGTATCTCGCAGTAGTCGAATCCCTGCTCCATGTTGACGTAGCACCAGGGCTGCTTGTCGCCGTCGGGGTTGCGGCAGTAGTTGTGGTCGCCCAGCCCGAACTCACCGTCAGGGTAACGCATCGTGCTGTACCTATGGTACGGAACAAACACATCCACAAGTTTAGACATAAGTAGAGCATTACATTGGGATCGTGTGGCGCAACGGCAGCGTGCACGACTCGGAATCGAGAGGTCCCGGGTTCGAGTCCTGACATGCCACCGATCTTGTGCCAGGGAGCCAGCGGTAATTCCAGATGGTGGCAATCTCCAAGTAGACTTTTTGGTGGCTGCAAAGAGAGAACCAAATTCCACCGGCCACCGGTGGTGAAATGGTGACTGTCCAGCAAACGGATACTGCCTGGCCAATTTGGTGAATTCTGTCTTGGTTGCAAATGCCTTTAAAAGATCTGCTTGGAGATTAAAGTTTGCACCCAGGCTAGGTTAGAAGTAAGAACATTACATTGTGATCGCCCAGCCCGAACTCACCGTCAGGGTAACGCATCGTGCTGTACCTGCGGGACAACCGTTTTACACATTAGTTTATTCAGCTAATCTCCAAGCAGATTCGGTGGGGCTAGGGGGCTTTATGTTAGCCGCCTGTATCCATTGGCTGTCTGTATCCATTGGCCGTCTCGCCCCACCGAATCTGCTTGGGGATTATATTCAGCCACGTTTTAAACTTGTGTACATTTGATTCGTGTAACATGCCCGTAGCCAGGATTACTATATATCTGAGTAAACAGCGAGCGCAAAAAAGTACAAGATACCAATGAATCAGGGGATACCATATCCACTGATTTTATTTGCACGAAGATAGGCCTTATTGTCTAGAGTTAGCCGACAAACAAAATGATGAAACAGGATAATGAGTAACTTGACAGTTTAATTGTGTGGGTGGGATGGGGGACGATACCGACTTCGAACCACTTTTGACCCGTTTGCTAACGTCACCCTACGTGTTCTACTTAGCACCTGGTTAATAATGGGACCAATTTTGGGTCGTCCTTTGGATAATGTTCCCACTGACATAAGCATTAAGAACCTTGTCTAGGGGGGACCACTAGACCAGATTTTGTGTCTCTTGGGGCAGTTTCAACTGTACTTCACCGTGTCCTTACCGCATGTTTGTAGCCTCGCTCCAGCTGATGCAGGTCCTGCCTGACAGGGTGGTGCTGGCCGTGCCTCGGTACGTCTCACCCTGCTCTACATAACACTCACGGTGGGACAGCGACATCGCAACTACATGTATGGGACAACAACAAAGGATGACAGACCTTTACCTTTAGTACGTTTATGCTCTTGCAACTACTAGTAAGTATAGGTCTATACCATCCATCCATTGAAGGGTTAAAACGTATTCATGGATCATGATGATCCATGGGGACAAAATCAAAGCGCGGGACAATGTGCGCTTGTGTGTGTGTGTGTTTGTGTGTGTGTATTTGTGTGTGTTTGTGTGTGTGTGTGTGTGTTTGTGTGTATGTATTTGTGTGTGTGTGTGTGTGTGTGTGTGTGTGTGTGTGGTCTGTCAGCCCCACTCACCGTCGTTCAGCAGACAGACGACGCCGGTCACTTCGCTCCGGTCGCAGTCGGACTTCCATATGTGTGTGTGTGTGTGTCTGTGTGTCTGTGTGTGGTTCTGTCTCTCTCTCTCTCTCTCTCTCTCTCTCTGCGTGTGTGTGTGTGGTGGGGGGGGGGCGTGTATGTGTGGTGTCTAAGCGCCACTCACCGTCGTTGACCAGACAGATGACCCCTGCCACCCAGTTCCTGTCGCAGTCGGACTCCCGTGTGTGTGTGTGTGTGTGTGTGTGTAATCTTTGCCAAACGTCTGCACTTGACGATCAGCCAGAACTACTCACCGTCGTTCAGCAGATAGACGACTCCCGCCACCTCGTTCCGGTCGCAGTCGGACTCCCATGTGTGTGTGTGTGTGTGTGTGTGTGTGTGTGTGTGTGTGTGTGTGTGTGTGTGTCTGTTTCTCTCTGTCTCTCTCTGTCTGTCTCTCTCTTTCTCTGTGTATGTCTCTCTCTCTGTCTCTCTCTCTGTCTCTCTCAGTCTCTCTCTCTCTCTCTCTCTCTCTGTCTCCTTCTCTCTCCTCGTGTGTGTGTGTGTCATCGTCTGTGTGTGCCTCTCTCGCTCCCTCGCTCTCTCCTCTACCACAGGCTGTGTGTGTGTGTGTGTGTATGTGTGTGTCGGCACGTACCGTCGTTCAGCAGACAGACGACTCCGGCCACCTCGTTCCTGTCGCAGTCGGACTCCCACCAGCCGCGGTGCGAGCACTCCATCAGGGTCCTCTCGTTCCCAGTGCACGTGACGTCATCCAGGATGAAGTCCCGCCGCCCGTCCCCGAACCTCGAGTTCTTGGTCGCCATCTTGGCTCCGCTGTAGCCATGATATAATACATCGATGCAATCTTAGTTATATTTGGCAGTGATACATATAGGAATGGTGCGGTATAAATTCTCTGAAACAGTCCCCAGTAACAACGGTCGAGGGATTTGGTCGATTTTCGGCCGCCATTTATACTCCATACCAACACACCAACACAAGTTCATAGCTGGCTCCGCCCCTGAGGTCTAGCCAAAAAATGAAGTAAAGGGCTTCTATTAGCACATGCCGTGCTTACTTTCTGTAGCCAGGTTCCAGGCGACATCGGCCACTTCTGGATTGTCTCTGAGTATCCAAGAACGTAGATTTGCTCCAGGCACGGTTCTGGACACGCGTGGACTATCCAGAACCGTGCCTGAGCAGGCAGGATAAAGCACGGTTCTGGATACAAGTACCGTGCCTGATCCTGAACCCTAATCCATTCAGGCATAGGACTAGATAGACACGGTTCCGAATACGATACTTACTTCTTGTATCCGAGTTGCCTACAGACGACATCGGCCGCCAGCTTGTCCCACTCGTCATCCAGAACCGTGCCTGATCCTAACCCTAAATCTACCCTCTCTGGTCGGCTAAATCCCCTGGTATAAGATTTATTTTGGCCAATTTCTATCTCGTTAGGTATAATTCTGGATACTATACTTACTTCTTGTATCCGAGTTGCCTGCAGACGACATCAGCCGCCAGCTTGTCCCACTCGTCATCCAGAACCGTGCCTGATCCTAACCCTAAATCTACCCTCTCTGGTCGGCTAAATCCCCTGGTATAAGATTTATTTTGGCCAATTTCTATCTCGTTAGGTATAATTCTGGATACTATACTTACTTCCTGTATCCGAGTTGCCTGCAGACGACATCGGCCGCCAGTTTGTCCCACTCGTCATCACAGATGATCCCCCAGTTCCCGCCTTCCACCTTCAGCTCCACACTCATAGCTTACAAATACTTAACCAATTCTATAGATCTATAACATGCTCCGCCCCAGTGGCGTCACCAAAAAACGAAGAAATCGTGCTTACTTCCTTTAGCCATGTTGCCTACCTGACCTTGCTTCAGGATAAGCATAAAGCACAGGTCTGGATAGCCTCTACCAGGCTTCAGAAGGCGACTGGAAAGAATAGAAATTAGCCACATAGAGAGATAACGAGGGAGTTTGTTCGCTAGAGAGTACATTTGGCTACTCTTTTCAGCCGCCTCCCGAAGCCTGGTGGAGGCTAGATTCTGGATACAGCACTTACTTCCTGTATCCGAGCTCGAGCTGCCTGCAGACGACATCGGCCGCCAGCTTGTCCCACTCGTCATCCAGAACCGTGCCTGATCCTAACCCTAAATCTACCCTCTCTGGTCGGCTAAATCCCCTGGTATAAGATTTATTTTGGCCAATTTCTATCTCGTTAGGTATAATTCTGGATACTATACTTACTTCTTGTATCCGAGTTGCCTGCAGACGACATCAGCCGCCAGCTTGTCCCACTCGTCATCACAGATGATTCCCCAGTTCCCGCCTTCCACCTTCAGCTCCACACGGCCGCGGTTAGGCGCCATCCCGCCGCGAAGCCTGATGAGAGAAAAGGATCGGAATTTGAAAGAAAATCTAGTAAAGTAACATTTGCAAAGCAAGTGCATAACGATTACGTTAACAAGCTTTTTTTTTTTTTTTACTTAAACATGTTCATATATATGGTGACCATGCAGCCCCTCTTGAACTCAGTTCTGCATGGCACTTGCTACATGATGATGTAACTCAACATTAATTACCATGATGATGTCTTTCAGGTCATTGACCTTGCTTGTTTGGAGAAGAAGAGGAAGAAACTAAGGAAATGCAATAGGTTTTCCTTAGGTAAACGGTAAAAAAAAATAACGTGACAGCATAAAAGCCCATTTTGCAAAGTTTCAACGAAATTTTTTGGCCTTCGTCAGTTACAAGCATCATGAGGTTCACGATAACGATTACGCATGCGCAGTGTGATGCATTGTGGGTTATGTGTCAAAGAGGACTAGGCATAAATTAGTGCCACACAAAACAATACTTCTGCCCCGGAAGTTCAAAGAAAATCTAGTACTGACCGCATGGCCCAGTTCTCTGTCCTTGCGATGGTCCCTCCCGGCCGGTTGTCGATGGTCGCCTCCACCTCGCCTCCGCGCATGCTCGCCGTCGGCGCGTCCATCAGGCGCATGCGCAGCCGCTCGTTCTCCTGCGTCAGGTTGCGGATTTGCGCCTTCGCGCGGATGAGCTCGGTCATGCAGGCGCGGTTGGGCGGACCTGTAGGGCAGACAGTACTATTAGATTTGTCCATAGGAACACATGCTTAAATACACTAATAGAAGTCCTCATGAAAGCACTTACCCATACTTCAATCTCAAAAATTTTTCTGCACCAGGTAGCCACAAGGGTCTGATTCCCAAATATTGAAAGGAAACAGGGGGTCGACCAGCTCAAACTCCCGCCACAGCTGATGATAGTAAACAAACCTCAACTTTGACCTACTTTTCCATGGTATCCATCCGCTCTGGCCAGACATGACCTAACCACTCACATCTCTCATTACGCCCACTAAACTGGTGAAATAAACAAAACTTGACCAAAGTAGGAAAGTTTAGACCCTACCTGTGCCTTCCAGCCCAAAAATCTCCAAAATGGACCAAAACTCTCAAGAGAAAAAAGGATTTTCAAAGGTATTAACTAGGCACTACAATCGTTGGCCTCCACTGCGCAGCGCAATTGTGACGTCTGCCCTGTAGAGGGATTTCATGCCCTTGTTAGCCCCTACCTAACTGTGGCCTGCAAAACTCCTCTGGCTAGTGGATACTGTCTTGCCACCTAAAGGGATCTGCTTGGAGATTAGCCTCTACCAGGCTTCGGGAGGTGGCTGGAAAGAGCAGAAATTGGCCAAATAGAGAGACAACATGTCTTGGGAGTTGGTTCGCTAGAGAGTATAGTTTGCCGCATGCCGTACCCGAACTGTACTTTCCAGCGGACCAACTCCTCTAGTATGTCATATTATCTATTTGCCATGGCCAATTTTTACTGTTTGCAGCCGCCTTCCGAAGCCTGGTAGCAGACGATAGAAGAGACATTGTGGATAACAGTTCGTGAACAATGTTTTTGAATACTGCCCTTTAACATTATGCATCTATGTACTAGTAAGGCATTAAGTGATTTTCCTCTACATAATTTTTTTTCTAGTCTCTCCCAGACTCCTTTGCAGGTTAAATAAACAGTAGAAATCGGCCTAAAAATCAATTTAGCCTGCTAGGGAATTAGTCGTAAATAGAAGGTCCAATTTGCACTGCATGACGATTTCTACTATTTATTCAGCCTGCAAAGGAGACTGGTGCAGACTGACTTTTCTGCCAACAGACATTGGAACACCTTGTGGCCATGACTCTTGATGCATTTATTCAATGTATTGTGTGATTTTCCTATATCATCGGAAATTGCGCATGCTCACCACGCGTGGGGTCCTTATCTATTTTCTTGGGTTTCTTGGGTTTTCCTGGTTTTCCGCCGCCGGGTTTCGGCTGAAACGAGGAACAGAAAATATCATGAATATAACACCCTCAATGTCTGAAGACCGAGGCTAGAAAGCCTAAAATCTCACCAGTATCAGGAGTCATAATTATAAATCCTAAATGTCTGTAGACCGAGGCTACAAGTCTGAGTCCTAACCGTATCAGGAGTCATGAATATGGCATCCTAAATGTCTGTACACCGAGGCTACAAGCCTGACTCCACCAGTATCAGACGTCATAATTATAAGATCCTAAACGTCTTTACACCGAAGCTACAACAAAACTCCACCAGTATCCTGAGTCATGAATATAGCATCCTAAATGTCTGTAGACTGAGGCTACATGCCTGGCTCACATCACAATCAGCCTGTGTGTATAGAACTCCTAAATGTCTGTAGACCGAGGCTACATGCCTGGCTCACAGTGTATCAAGGGTCATGAATATAGAAATCCTCAACGTCTGTAGGCCGAGCTTATAAGCTTGGCTCACACCAGTATTTGAAGTCATGAATTAAGCTCCTAAATGCCCGTGGATCGAGGCTACGGGTGTCTGTAGACCCTAAGCTAAAAGCCTTATTCGTCCTAAATGTCCGAAGACCGAGGCTACCAGCCTGACTCACGTCCGTAGCGGAACTTCGGACTTTCCCCCTTCTGAAGTGTTTTCGCGGCTTCTCGCGTTCCTCAACAGCCCAAGCACGGGAAACAAGCAGAGATGTGGGTTGAAAACTTTTGTTTGTAAAGCTAGTTTCTCGTTTTGCATGACTTTCAAGTGGCGCGAATTTTTCAGAGTTACGATCTGGCCTCCTGATATCTGCTTGGAGACTGCACACATCGTCGCAAATTGTGCCGAAGGCGTAGCAACAAATCTCACCTAACGAACGTTAGATTACTGCTAATATAAAATCACGAGATTTCACCAGCCACGTATATTACATGTAGTAGCTTTCACGAACGCGATACGTCTTGATTTAAAACTTAGTCAGCGGTTATAGTGATCCATGAAGTTACGCACGCCTCTGGCACCACGATTTTTTTGCTGAGCTCACCATATTTACCAACCACGTTACACACACAAACCTAACTTGGCTTGTTGAGCTTCTCAGAAATGCCCTAAACCTCCCCCATAATTTTTCACTAACACGCTCGAACCCGCATAGTAGATCTCTAATCTCCATGCAGATCTTTCAGAGCCAAAGTCAACCACGAAGACACTATCCAATAGATACTGTCTCGCTAATTGTTACGACTTTTTTTACGCCAGCGAAAGATCTGCTTGGAGATTAGAGGTTAGAAAATGTGACCAACGTGAGCGGATTACCAGAGTCAACCAGAACAATTAAATTTCATAACCTCAAAGGAAACTTTGGAAGGGAATATGGTTTTCCGAAAAAAAACACCCACCCTTTTATAGCTTTATATATGAAGCTAAAATATAACCCCTCCCGTATTTAGACTCTGAAAACGATTTTTTCCACCCAACATCTACTTGGAGAAACAAAGTGCTCACCCTTCGCGTCTCCACGTCTTGCAGAAGAAGCACGATCACAAGGAGAAGAACCGCCGCCTTCCAAAACTTCGCCATGATGATGTCCTTTGACTCTGATCTCAGTCAGCCTGTTGGAGCGTCTTGTTTTTTCCTCAAGAACTTTTCTACTGTCGTTGTTGTTGTTCCTGCTTAACGTCTGTTATCTGGCAGGATGTGGTCTCTTGATGCTGGGATTCTTGGTTCAGGCTCGGTCCGATGGTCTCTGAAGGTTTTTAAGACTTGGTGCTTTGAGTTGAGCACCAGTTTTAAACTACCGGACTGTGAGTGAGAATCTGTGCGCCTCACACACAAACAATGACCGGAAGTGGACCCTGTGTTGTGGAAGTGACGTGTGTGTACATGAATGTTGCGGCAGGGGCTCACTTATCTCACATCCCTGACCAGAGCAAACACCGCGCGACGCCGACCTGGGGCAAACAAATGTAGCCTCGAAACAGGCGCCTCAGTGGGTGCTGTGTTAATGTTAATGTGTGTGTGTTTTATCCAGATTACGTGCTGTTGCTTTGATTGCTAATTGAACTCTCATCAGTGTTGGCTTAGTCTCAAGCTCGTTTTAATTACATTTGCACATAATGGGCAAAGACACAGTAAAAATTGATGGCAATTTCAAGGCGGCAAAACCAAAAATTTCTGAATGAGGAAATCTGTCTGATATTGACATTTACTATTATTTCTTAGCGCAGTTTCGTCATAATTTCATACTTAATTTGTTTACACAAAAAGTCTTGGGGTACCACCAATAAATAGCCAAAAGCAGCCTACGATACAAAATACAAGCAACCAATTTCCGTCAGCGACATCGTATTTTTGCCTCACACATATCAGTGAATATGCTATAGGACAGGATTGATTAAACATACTACAAATGTACATTACAAAAACTGACCAAAAGACTACCTACTAGTAGGAAATTGACTTTAAAATCCAGTTTTGCAGCCCTGAAATCGCCTTGGATGCCTTTAAACTAAAGTATGACGCGACTTCGCCAAAGCTCATGCGTAGATGTAAGATGACTCACTGTGATAGCAAGTCCTTGCAATAGTTCGGGCTAAGCGCTTAATAAGGACAATCCTCTCTTGCTGTTGGTACATGGCCCTCGCCGGTACGGCACTCAGCATTGTCAGCAAGATGTTTTCTATAACAACTGGCGATGAAAGAAGCCTCTACCAGGCCTAAAAATATAAAATTTGGCCAAATAGAGAGATAACATGCCAGGGGAGTTGGTCCGCGACTCGAGAGAGTACAGTTTACCACGTTTCCAGCGGGCTCCCGAAGCCTGTTAAAGACTAAAAACACAACACAGTCCGTGCACACACGTGAAAACCATCTATTAAGCGAGTCACGATGTTTTGAAAACTTGCACGCCAATGTGGGTGACTCATGTGGTTTATCTTTCGCGCGAAGGTGTCGGCTAAGGAAATACTGTTAGCCTCTACCAGGCTTTGGGTGGCGGTCGGAAAGAGAGGAAATTGTCTCTGTACATGACGCGATACAAAATACATCAAGTGGATGCGTAAATGATTTCATCGTGTTGATAAATGATTGAATATTAAAGTTCTTTTCGTCACAACCATTCGTTTTACATGAGCCAACGTTTCGGTGACCTAGCTCCAGTGCACAGCGAACCAGCCATATACTATTTTATGGCCCTAATTAAGATGACAGACGGTCACCGGGACGTTGACGTTGACAAGTAGATGTTTTCTCTGAGATGTAACACGTTTCAAATAGATAATAATAAAGTATAAATCATCATAATCAGTATAGTAACGTTCTTCAGCCGGCCGCCTGGATGGTCTGTTGAATCCATCCCAGAAACTCCTCCACCGCCGTGTACACTCCTGGCCACTCCGGCCGCGCGCAACCGTCACCCCATGACGTCACACCCCACACCGTCCAACCGCCGTCCTGTTGGCATAGCAACGGTCCTCCGCTGTCGCCCTGAGGAAAAAAATGTTGAGTCCAATTAATTATGTCAATCATCTATTGACAGAAGGACTTTGGGCTTAAAATCGTATTTTAAGTCGGTGTGTTACGCCGAGAGGCGGTTACACCGGCTATACAGATACAGACACAGATTCACTTGCAAATGAATGCTTCAGTTTGGTTTTAGAATATACTTCTGTAACGTTACATGCATTTGTATAGCCAGTATAACGTCCTTCGGCGTAACACACCAGCTTCTGTATCTGTATAGCCGGTATAACTGCTCTTCGGTGTAACACACCGGCACCAGCTTCTGCATCTGTATAGCCGGTATAACCGCCCTTCGGTGTAACACACCAGCTACTGTATCTGTATAGCCGGTATAACCGCCCTTCGGCGTAACACACCAGCTTCTGTATCTGTATAGCCGGTATAACCGCCCTTCGGCGTAACACACCAGCTTCTGTATCTGTATAGCCGGTATAACCGCCCTTCGGCGTAACACACCAGCTTCTGTATCTGTATAGCCGGTATGACCGCCCTTCGGTGTAACACACCAGCTTCTGCATCTGTATAGCCGGTATAACCGCCCTTCGGTGTAACACACTAGCTTCTGTATCTTAGTAAAGTCGGTAAACACCAGTTTCAAAATTAACTTCAAACTGAAAACTTGCCTGACACGTGTCCACCCCACCTTCCCAGAATCCCGCGCACATCATCCTGTCCGTTACCATGTTCCCGTACGCCCTATCCCGGCATTCCTGGCGCGGGATGAAGGGAACGGACGCCTCCCTGAGGATATCGGAGAACGAGGTATCACTAGAATCTGAAAGGAAACAAAATTGAAATTACAATTTTTACTTTTCTGTGGAAAATTTAATTTCATAATCTGTGGACTAAGTGATTTTGTACGTTCACAGATAACATAATAATTGTTTGGTCATTATTGCATTAAAAACCGTGCCTATCTAGCTTTATGCCTGAATGGGTTAGGGCCAGTAGGATCGGGCACGGTTCTGGATAGTTTCCTGGTTTCCATGGACTTACGTTTGCATCAGGCACGGTTCTAGATACGCGTGTGGACTATCCCAAAACCGTGCCTGAGCATGGTTCTGGGCAAAGCACAGTTCTGGATACGCGTGCAGACTATTCAGAATTATGTCTGAGTATGCTTCTGGATATAATGCATGGTTCTGAATACGCGTGGACTATCGCGAATCGTGCCCTGAGCATGGTTCTGGATAAAGCACGGTTCTGGATACAACAGTCACACTTACTGGCCTTGCCCCATCCCACGATGGAACAGTTGCTACCAGGCTGCAGGGTTTCCCCGGTACTGGGCAGACAGGCCGGCCGGACGTACGGACCTGTTCTCGCGCAAGTGCCGTCGGCATGTTGTCTCAGTCGCACCAACACTGCGCAGGGATACAATACACACATGGAAAATGTGGTGCTGCAGTGTGTTGAGACTTACTGACAGAGATAGAGAGAAGGAGAGAGAGAAAGAGAGCGAGAGAGAGAGGGAGAGAGACAGATAGAGTGAGAGGGAGGGAGGCAGGGAGAGAGACAGAGAGAGAGATAGAGAGACAGGGGGATAGAAGGAGAAAGAGAGAGACAGACAGAGAGGGGGGTCCCGAGGCTGGGAAAAAAGCAAGAGTGGGATTTCTTGGCCTGGTTTGACCAAAAGTAAGCATCTAACTAAGTATTATCAATACATGGTACTCACCTATGTCGTTGTGATTGGTGAGGGGATGGTAGTCAGGGTGTAAAAACATCCTCTCTATGGAGAAGACCTGCTCCCCATTCTCCGCGGAACTCAGGTTGTACTCCCCCAGCCGCACCGTGAAGGATGACTTGGAGTAGCTACAAAGGAATCGCTATAGTTATAATATACCAAGGATGTAGATATGTCTATTGTGTTGTCTTATCTAACTCTTGTTGATGAGTGAGACTTCTTGCCATGTGAGTTTGTACCATCTACCAGTACAGTAGATAGCACTTTCAGTACCAAGGAGAGTGTCGTGTGCGCATTTTAAAGGGGGCAGATTTCGTAAAGGACGACTTGGAGTAGCTATAATGTAGTCACTATAGTTAAAATACACTCAGGGATGCAAGAATGTAGATACATGTATACTGTGGCCTTAGCTGGTGCTTATTGAGGAATTAGACTTGTGGCTTTGTGAGTATGCAGGTCGACCAGTGCAGTCGATAGCACTTTCAGTACGAAGGAAAGTGTCATGTCATATGCCGATTTAAAGGGAGTAGCTTTGTCCACACATTTGGTTAACATGTAACAATCAGTCACTCTCTTCTCAGATATACTTGTTTGTTGATCATCGTTTATTGGGATTTTGATTAGCCTGACTACATGTACATCACGCTTCTAGCAGCTCTTCCACTGACCAGGCCCCTAGAAGAGAGGTGCCAGTGACGGCAAGACATTGTGTAACACAGGCTAGGCTTCAAAGTACTTTTGATGACATTAAGAAAAGCGTAAGACAGAAAACCTTACTCGTAGAAGCAGTGCGCAGCGCTGAGTACCCAGCAGTTGCGAATGAGTGCGCCGCCGCACCAGTGGCCGTACCCGTTCAGTCGCACCTCGGCAATCCACGGCCACTGTCCCCGCTCAGCCAGCACCCCGCCTACAATACGTGCGTGAGCTGACAAAGGTGCCCGGAAACTGAACCGTGATCCGCAGTTTTCTAGAAGAGAAGAAAAAAAAAGAAGAAAAGTAAGTTCAGAAAGCTCTCCTGTCTAGTGGGGTCGTGTGGCGCAACGGCAGCGTGCGCGACTCGGAATCAAGAGGTCCCTAGTCCCAAATATCATCACAATCCATGAAGGCGTTATGAAGTTATGCTGACTACAAATGTGCGGAAAAACAAACACACACACAGACACAGACACACACAGACAGACAGACAGACACACACACACACACACAGACAGACGCGCCTAAAACAAGGGGCCATTTTTCATGGAGGTAATAAGTATTCTTACGTTCTTACGTACCTGGTTGTGTATAGTTCCTGTCCGGCCCAGTTGTAGTAGCGGGGACATCAGTAGGCACAGTCGGGGCGGCCTGACAAAGGACCCCGGCGTCTTCGGCGTGACTACAGTCGTGCACATACCTACGAAAGACCATAGGTACAAATTCTTAAACAGTAAACGACCTTTCATTGTACTTAAGTTAGTTCATACTTAAGAAGACGACGAGCTTCCTGAAACAGCAAATGAGCTTAAACAGACGAGCTCATTTGCTGTTTTAGGAAGCTGTTTCAGGAAGCTTAAACAGCCTGTTTAATTATAAGCTCATTTGTTGTTTCAGGAAGTTCCTCTTCTGTTTAAGCCAGCTCGTCGTCTGTTTAAGCTAGCTCGTCATCTGTTTAAGCTAGCTCGCGTCTTCTGTTTAAGCTCGTCTTCTGTTTAAGCTAGCTCGTCGTCTGTTTAAACTCGTCGTCTGTTTAAGCTCATTGTTTAAGGTCGTTTTGCTGTTTAAGCTTTTGTACCTATGGTCTTTCGTACGTACCAGCCGTTGTGGAAGCACTGCACCACGGACCTCTCCCCGCCGCTACACTCCACCTCGTCCATCAGCACAGGCCCCGCACCGCGACCGAAGTATCCGAACGAGATAGCGTAGGCCTCACCCCTACCAAGAAGATATTAAAGAAATCACTCTTAAATTATTAAATTATACGTCAATTGTAGAGCCAATTGTGGTAAGTGAAGTAAACCAGCTCGACTGCGTTCCAAATGCGAGCAAAAAAAGTGTCCTTGAATTTTTAGCCGTTGGTAATGCCTTCGTCAGGTTCGAATGACCAGCCACTTAGGACACGTGACGTCATGACGTCAGCAACCGATTGAAATGGCAAGTAAGTTCAGACCAAGCCGTCTTTGTTGTCACAAGTCCGATTTCAAAGTTCTAAATAGATAAACCTTTCTTCCAAAGTTTGTAAAAACGTAGGGGGGGGGGGCTTGCACGCTACGACACTACCTTACCTCCTCACATCTGCTTGAAAACTAAAACTGACCTGTATCCCAGGTTCCTGCAGACGACCCTTGCGTCCCTGTCGTCCCACTTGTCGTCGCAGACGGTGCCCCACTCGCCGTTAAAGTAGAGCTCCACCCGACCCTCTCCCGGTGCCGTGCCGTTCACCAAACGGAGAGGACGGGTTCTGTCTGCAAAAAAAAAGTAAAAAATTAATAATAAAAAAAAAAACTCAAGAAATACGAGATTTCAAATCTTGCCATGATTTCCTGCTAGACTGATGAGCCTGATGAGCCTGTTAGAGGGCCTTGTTTTTCCCCTGCAACATGATGTACTAGTAACCCAACACTAGCTAGTTGCCACGTCTGGGCCAGGTTTGGAGAAGAAGAAGAAACAGAGCAAAAACCATATGTTTTCCTTCGGCAATCATAACAAGAAATCAGAGATTTCAGACTTCCCAGATTGAATATGCAATCCTTGGCTTCCTGAATTATCTCTTGTCGACTACAACATGATTCCAGCAAAGGATGACGGGTGATATAATATTCTTCGAGACTGTAAATCTAGGATCCAGCAAGACATCATTCATAGTTTTTAGTCATGCTGACAGACCGATAGACAAACCAACAACAATAGCTCCTCGAAAGAATTAACCTGAGTAGCTACACTGAAATCCTATATATAGGCACATACCAGACACATTGTAGGATGTGCGTAAAAACTGTTTTCTTACCTTCGTCAAACATTTTCATTTTACTGACATTTTCCTGCATTATTCAAATTTCACTCAACATATCTAGTGACACTTCCTAGTCCATGCAAACTTTTTCTGTTATGAAATATGAAAATAGTAATAAAACATATAAATAGTCTTACGGCCGTCACACGTGCAGTAGGTCCACCTGACGTAGCCGTCAGCGACGTAGAAGCACCACGGAATGACGTCATGATCCGGATTCCGGCAGGAGTTGTGGTCCCCCAGTCCGGCATCCGGAAATCCGGTCACCACGCTGGGGAAGTTCATCCAGTTCAGGCACTGCATCCCGGCCGCAGTGGTCGTCACGTTCCCATGGTAACCGCTGGGGTCCCCGAAGCAAGAGGTGTCAATGGCTGTGGAGAAAGGTCATCAGTGTTACTATTATTGGACAGAAAAACAGCTTTTTATAAACCTAAAAAATTTATTAAAAATCTAAAAGGTGATGATACAAGTCTCTGTCAGTGACAGAAGTGCTATTGTACCCTGTACAATTGATATACATCAACTTAAAACAACTTAACATTGTTTACAGGTGTAACGCCCTCCAAGAATGCACCATATAGCAAGCACGTAATTTGCATATTTGGGACAATTCAGTGACTGCCTCACAGCCGGCTGTGTGTGTGGATCCAACACGATGAAGGTCAGTAAAAGTCACTGTTTACTACCTATATAAGGTCTCATATTGGTACCGATATATCACATAGGAACGTCTAACGGCACCTTTGGGGTTTTTCTGACGGAACAAGCGCTAAGAGGCCGATCTAGCGCTTATAACTTTTGTATTTTGTGTGGGGAGGGGGGCATCCTCTTTGCTCCCAACACAACAAACGGTGACAATAGTACTAAGGGTCGATCCGGTCACATATTCCGGCGACCTCAAACTGAGAACACTACTATTGAGGTAGTCCTGTATGTATCCTACAGTAATTAAGCTGGCTTGTTTGTTTGTTTGTTTGTTGGCAGCGGTTGGTTCTAGTCGTAGCGTACATTGAATATCTCTCGACATGAAACTTGTGCAACTCAGGTAAACATTAGTACAAACACATGTACCTGGCCAGTTGTTCTGTCCCCAGCCTACAAACCTTACCACTTAATTTGGATTTTTACCTCCATGAAAAATGGAGGTATTGTTTTTGGTGTATTTGTGTGTGTGTTTGTGTGTGTGTGTGTGTGTGTGTGTGTGTGTGTGTGTGTGTGTGTGTGTGTGTGTGTGTGTCTGTGAGTGTGTGTATCTCTGTGTGTTTGACAGATTCTGTAACACAACGTAGTATTGTAACATGGTATGTATGTGTACAGATTCTTTTATCAAATCAATTGGTTTATTGTAGTTAGTGTAATATAAATGTCTCTTGTTTGTTTTAAGTGATTGAAATTTTAAAACTGTATTCTCTATATATGTTGCTGTGGTCCAGGGTGGCCAAGTAGCAAAGAAATAGCGGAATTTATAGTCTAGTCCTCACCCCTCTCGCTGACGCAGATGACTCCCGCCGCCTCGTCCGGTCGGCAGTTGTTCTGCCCCCAGCCGAGATGCGCACAGTCCTGCACTCTACTCTCCGTCCCACGGCACTCCACGTTATCCAAGGCGTACCTCCCGGTCCCTGAGCCGAACCACGACTCACCCACGGCACGTATGGCACCGCTGTAGGATAGAGAAATGGTTTGTGAGAACGAACACAGTCAGTCAAACATAGCAACAAGAGGTGCGCACAGTCCTGTACCCTGTTCTCGGTCCCACGGCATTCCACGTTATCCAGGGCGCGCCTCCCGGTCCCAGAGCCGAACCACGACTCACCCACAGCCCGTATGGCACCACTGTTTGTGAGAAATGCAGCAAGAAAATCAGTCCTTACGTAGCCAGGTTGCTGGAAAAACACTAGTATTAGAAATTGGTCATATAGTCTGAATAGTATGCCAGTGAAGTTAGCCGGTTAGAGGATAGTTTTGCCTAGGTTGCAAAGTATACTCTTACAGTCGGCTAACTTCTCTAGCTGGCATAGTATTCAGTCCGGTCAATTTCTAATATTTTTCCAGGAATCTGGGTAGCCTTGCAGATTCAAGGCAATCAATGTTAGAGACAGTAGACCCCACCCCCTCTGGCGATAGATAGGAGAAGTGGAATGGCAAGCAAAAACGTACGGACAGACAGAAAAGGCAGAAACAACCATTGGGGTGAATTAGATGTAGAAGCAACAACGAAAAAGGTATTGCAGAGAAAGCTTTTTTTAAAGAAGCAGAATCATTGCCAACCCTCCCTACTTACCCCCTGAACCCAAGTTGGCGGCAAACCACGTCGGCGTCTTTGATGTCCCACACGTCATCACAGATGACCGCCCAGCCGCCGTTCCACCAGACTTCCACCCTCCCCCGGTGGGTAACATTCACCCCCGCGCCCGCCAGGCGAATGGTAGGGTCCGCCCGGTGGCCCCAAGGCCCGTGCCTCTTGCTTCTGGAGCGCCTGGGCTCGAGGCTAAGCCGCTTCGGTGCGTCTTCTAGACTGGAGATGATCCCGACAGGACTATCTGGAAAATTAGCAGAAGTGTGTTTTTTTTCCAACACAAGAAAAGGAAAAGTCACCGTCATCAATTTACAGCTTTTAAAGAAAACCCCATCAGCTCTATCTAATTTTGTTCCCTAGGTGTAGGCACCAAACACTCCTGGGCATTGGATTAAATAGGTTGGAGGTTCCTATTCTAGAAGATGACGATGGTTTTGAAGGCTTGTAAAATGTGGGTCTATTCGGAATATAAAAAAATGCCAGGGAAAGGCTACAAGTCCATGGAAGTGAGGTTGCTTTCTGTCCCAAAACATGCGATTGCTTTGACGCATCGTTCGTTGGGAATGATGACTAAGAGCGTCTAATTTGCTGAGGGTGATTCTACGTCAGACTTCGCCCCAAACCGCTTTTTTTACAGCTAGCAGAACATGTACAAGAGGAATGTAAACATCTACCTGGGAACGAGCCCTCCGTGGTGCCCCTTTCGACCTGAAGTGACAAAGAAGGACGGAACAATTGATGAACACTTTCGTAACCTCTGACCCCCTTACTGGTACCAAGATTCTTAAAAAAAAAACATGATAAGAGTGACTTTCAAGAAAGACGTAAGACGCAAAAGACAAGTACGTAAGATCCTATTCTATAACTTCCTTAGCGAATTGATCTTAGTTTGCTTTACTGTGTTGTGCCCACTAGAATAAAACGGCACCTAACGGCCAAAGAAAAAGCCCAATTTGTAAGCCTACAAAAAGGCTACATACCTGTATTGTGACCTGTAGTTTTTCCTCCGGGAAAACTCAATTATGCATATACATAATGTGGAAAATGTCAACAAAGATTCCGCATTGCCGCCTGATTTTGGATATGGGTCTATTCCAGTTGTCGCGTACAACAACATCGGTGTCAGATTGTTTTCTATAGCCGCTGTCCAAAGAAAAGCTACATTCTACAGATAATAACGCCAAATATCTTCGTATAACGTCTATAAGTTTGTTTCTATAAGTCGGGTAACGTGCTTGTTTCTCGCTGCAACACTGCCTTCGCTGTTTTGGAAGGCCTCTGTAGCATTGATTTCTATAGCCGCTCTCCAAAGAAAAGTTACAGGTAATAATGTAAAATAATCTACTTATAACATATTTGTTTCTATAAGTCGGGTAACGTGCATGTTTTTTTAGCTGCAACACTGCCTTCGCTGTTTTGGAAGGCCTCTGTAGCATTCTCAAGCTCCGAGTAACAGGATTACTCGATTCAATGAATTATAAGCGATTCAGGCGAGTGGCCTTTCTGGCTTGATCCACCGTGCCCGACCGAGTCATGTTTTACGCACACGGCGCAGCGGGGATTCCCTTTTTTCCTTTTCAATATTCCACTCGCCGTTACCATGACAACGCAAGCGAAGCCGCCGGATTTCCGAATCCCTGATTTATCGTTATTTTTCCCAAGAGTTCCGCGTCTGTGAAAAGCGTGTTAGTGACTCAGAGATCCGCGCTGTTGTTTTCCTCTAAAACGGTTGTGATGTAAGACTTACAAGCGAACAAGGAAACTGCGGTTGCTGGAAACTGTGGGTTCTCTCCCTACCATACTATACAAAAGCAAGAAGGAGGACAAAAATACGAACCTACCTCGTGTCGCCTTTCTGCAGAATCTGCAAGCACAAAAGCCCTGGCGGTCCAAACGCTGAACAAGACAATAGTGGACAACATGTTTTCAGCGTTGGTCTCTCGCGTATGCGTCAGTATGCTGATGGGGCACACTATGGTATACAGGTATATTCACCCACGTATTGTACAGCGGCGTAGGTATGGCGCGTCCACATGCCACACAAATAGTTCTCATGGTCCCACCATCAATACAGGTTCGCTAACCCTTTGGCCTAGGGGGAGGTCTTGCACGCGCAGTGATTTGTCCAAAGTTTGGTTTGGCACTCCTTTTAGTGTGGCGGAGGAACACAGCGGTGTAACGCGCCTTTCGGAAGGGCACAGCACCGGGGCCTGCTAGGTTTCGAACTGAGAACTTTTCACAGAATCTAATTCAACCATCTTTACCACAAGATCACCTTGCAACCTTAAGTCATCTCTTTCCTCCATAAATACCCTGCCTTACACAGCTGCATCGGTCCCGGAGGAGCCGCCTTGGTGCAGGTGGCATTGCAGTAAGCAAACCAGAACACCAGCTGGGTAAGGCTTGGACAGGTACATTAGTTATACTCTGGGTTAGGGTTAGGTAGTGTCATTGTAAGCATCCCAGCAAGCCAAAGTTACAACCAGCCGGGGAAGGCTTAGATAGGTACATTCTGTTAGGGTTAGGTAGCATCACTATTAGTATCCCAAACAGCCAAATATAGAACACCCGGGCCTAAGGCTTGGACAGGTATATTAGTTTCATGCTGGGTTAGGGTTAGGATTCGGGTTAGGAAGTGTTACTATAAGCATCCCAACTTGCCAAAGTAAGAACGCCACCTGGGGAAGGCTTGGACAGGTACATCAGTTTCAGTCTGCTGGAATGCGATAGCCTGAGATAGCCTGAGATCTTGTTTAACCTTACTCTGCCAAAGATGGATGATAAATACATGTAGTCCTCGTGATCCTGGGTCCGTTTTCTGCCACCGAAGCGCTCCTGCAGGTGTGAGCGGGCCAAGGCTCGCAGATAACCGCGGCAAAGCTGACGATGGACAAGGGGTCCCACCGCGGAGGTACAAGCCTGGCCTAGCTGGTAACATTTCATCGGGGGCTTCTCGGATACTCTGTAACAAGCACCAGTTCCCACACCGGCCCTGTGAGTAATGGCAAAGTATGCCGTACTAGGAATATAGAACTCGACGATGCGAGGACGAATCTTGGAAAAAAGAAAGGGGGAGTGGTGTAACAGAGGGGTTCAAGCGCCTCTAACCGACCCATTCCAATTGGTCTGGAAGTTTTGGAGTAGTCGTTGGCGCGCTGGCGCGGGTTCGATTCCCGGCGTCCTGGGACTCAGGGGATTTCTGTTTCTACTCGCTCTTTGTTTCAACTTCTCGGGGCAGGGAGTGTTGCCTACCCGACAACTAAATTAGTGTAATCGGGAAATCCTTATGGAATCAGATTGCGTTAGTTACTAGTACTCTCTCACAATGTCAATGGCTATAATTCGAAATCCGCTGACAGAAAAGGACTAATACGTCAAGACTGAAGCAGGTAAAATCACATATAACGTACATGTGATGGTTGCCAGGCGACGTATCTGACGTCAGACTTACGATGGCAAAAACGACCTGTCTGGCCTACGTCGTGCGTTGAAAATGCTGACCTACATAATTAGGTTTGTACACTAGAATATCACCGTAGCGGATAAAATTAATGTTAATCCTGCATTGACTCCCAGGGTTGCCAAGTATGCCCCCACCTAACGCATATCTATGCTCTAACATATAAACTATCTAGCCCCAACATATAACACATAAGACTTTGCAGATAACTTGTATTGTCATTTGTTTATTTGGCTAGTTTGCGTTCCGTTTTCCTATCGTACATAAAGAGCTTTTAATTACAATATACTTCCGGGTAACGTGAATTGAGAAGGAAGCTTGATACAATGCTTGCCATTTTCATACACCTTCAATAATCAACAATACAAAGCGTAACACCACATATAACATCATGCTGAATAAACTTACATTGATAAAAATGAAATATTAAGTTTTGATTAATAAAAAATGTAAATAATTATTAATGTAATTGCTGTACATCTTCAATATTACATTATTACAATATCATGTTTAAACTTCCTTTCACGTAACTGAAAAGCCTAATACTGTAGATATCCCTGGATTGACGGAATGGTCTATTTCTATCTGCTTTGAGTTCTTGAGTAAACTGATTGTGAGAAGAGTAATATACTTTACAACTGTAGGTTTAATGTCATGTTCATGGATGCAAAATGCAAATTATGTAAAATTAAGACATGTCTATACGCCTATAACCACTTTATAAACCCCATAATGTCCTCATGAACTGCAATAATATGGTACTTTTAAATTTTAGAATTCAGAGACTAGTCCTCTAACCTTTCAGTTGAACCTAGAATTCTTTTTGGATACATTTCTTACATTTTACATGATCTTTGATATTAGTATTTTACATAACTTATTCTTGTTTTTTTTCGTCTTAATGTTTTGTCGTTAATTTAATTTTGTATTGTCATTTGGTCTGGTGGCGTCACGAACATAAGCCATAGGCTTGAGTGTGACGTCACGTTTGTCATGAAATGTTGCCATAAAATAATAGTATAGAAATAGCACCAAAAGTACAACATTTGTAATATAAAAGAAACTCTTTTGAATATAACAACATGGACGATCGCTTATAAAATGTTTCCATTCCAAAGTATTAGTAGTACAGTAACAAATTGCCAGATATAATGTCTTTCAGCTTTTTACATGGGACTTTATCGCCACAACGTACAACTACAATCTAAACTTCTGCAGTTCCATTTCTATTGCATGCACAAGTGTATATACGGAATATTTAAGCAGGTTTTAGCAAGTGTTCTACAGCGTGTTTTTTACGGAATGTTCCTAGAAGTTGAATGATTTTCATCTCCACATTTCCATTAATACAAGTTAGAAGATATTGAAATCTGGAGCCAACAATAATATACGATCATGACAAATTTTATACTACAAACTCACCATTACTTAAAAAGTATTTTTACCGTTAACCAACATCTTTATAATCGTTTTACACATCTATGTACATATATAACAGAAACAATAACAATAATATACCTGTTGCCATGTTACACAACTTTATCCAGTGACGTAAAAAATCAACAATATCACTTTACATTGACGTCATTTATGACGTGCGATGACATAAATATGACGTCACCATTCGTCCATATAAAAGAAACATTTCTTCTGTATCGGTATGGTCGGTGTAACCGCCCTTCGGCGTAACACACCAGCTTCGCAGGCACGCGGCGCGGCGGCAGCTGGCTACATCACACCGAACGACGTGTCACACCTAACCTTTGTACATCTAATTATCCCTGTATAATACTAGTAACATTTATGTAATTATATACCCCCCACATCCATTACCTATTTTAATGATTTTTGTGTTGACCACAGAGCAATTCAGGCACCCAGTAAGGTTGCCTGCGAGCCTGTTGTCAGAGCGTATTGTGTATGTTTGAGTTTCTAAGAAAAAAAAAACATTCTACTACTAAATTCTACTACTATACCTATCCCAGGATCCCTTGTTTGGTGACGTCACCGGAGACGTGACGTCACCATACACGGGAAGAAGAACGGGTGACGAATGGTGACGTGTACACGCATGTTGGCGACGTCATCATTCCAAAAAAAAAACATTCCACTACTAAATTCTACTACTATAACTATCCCAGGATCCCTTGTTTGGTGACGTCACCGTAGGCGTGACGTCACCATACACGGGAAGAACAATCGGGTGACGAATGATGACGTGTACACACATGTTGGCGACGTCATCATTCCCCACCCATGATGCCGTTGAGCCAGGAGGTGAATCGGGAAACCCTGGTGTAGACACCGGGGAAGTTCCTGATGCCACATCCGTAGCCCCAGGACGTCACCCCCCACAGCGTCCACCGACCGTTCTGCTCGCACCTGCAAACGCATAGGTGAAGATATGGGTACCATTTTAATAAATAAAATGAATGAATGACTGGTTTATTATGTAAAACATCGCAGCCATCAGGCTGAAGTACGTTTCACTTACATAGTACATTTTGTAATGATATTTCCCGACTATAACGAAGAAAGGAAAAAAATCCAAATTTGGAGCTATGTACCCAATTTGTTTTCTGTGGGTGCACCAGTGCACCCAAATATTCTTTGTAGGTTTACGAATGTCAAGATGTTAAATGTAGAGTAGTTCTAGTATTCAGCATATTCTTAACATCTAAGTGTCAGCAAAATAGGAAAATCATTCTTGTAGTACTTTTCTTTAGAAACGAAACATAACTAGAGAAGTAACATTTGCAAAGCAAATGCATAATGTTTACCTTCGGACATGGTCGGCCCTGATAATTCTTACTCAAACACATTCACATACATGTACTACGAGAATATGGTGACACGAGCAGAGCAGACCATGAAATTGCAACATTATGAAACCCAACACTAGTCACCATGGTGACAGACGTCAACAAATCACGTCATTGGTCAGGTCATAGGTCACTGTTTGGAGAAGAGGAAGACATCATACTTAGTTTATCTTATATAGTGCACCCACAGAAAATTATGTGTACCCAATTTTTTAGGTTGGGTGCACCAGTGCACTTATTCCCAAAAATGTCTACCCCTGCTTGACTTGACTCACATGAGCGGTCCCCCGGAGTCGCCCTGGCACGAGTCCACGCCTCCCGCCATGACTCCCGCGCAGAACATGTTGTCCAGGAACTTCCATCCGTAGCGCCGGCGGCAGGTGTCGCGCGATATGAGGGGGACTCGCGCCTGCCGCAACGTGGCCGAATAGCCGTGACCTGGGGGGAGGGAGGGACAACGTTAGGGACTTCTGTTATCACACAGACAAGCTCGGAAATTCCTAGCAACGCCTATAGTGAGGCTTAGGGCCCGAGCCTGCCGCAGAGTGGCCGAGTACCCGTGGCCTGTAGGTGGGGAGGGACAACAAGGGACATCGTTAGTTTGAGTATCACACACAGGAACGTTCGGAGGTGCCTAGCAAAGCATGTATGTGGTGAGACATGCGGCCAAACGCGGATGAGTGCTACGTAATATGTCGGTGGATGCATGTCTTTTTCCAAAGGGCTATTTAGAGAGAGGTCAACCATCTTATTCATAAATGGAATGAAAGCCTATTCGATACTAAAGATGTAGGCATACAAGATCGGTACACACTGGACCTTTCAGCTTCGAATCTACCCTTCTAACTTGGTCTGGAATCTTGAGGCATTTTGCAACCATTTCCTATACTCTCTTATGACTTCCCGATCTTCAAATACTCTTCTGACGCTTATCTTCCTTACTCTAACGCTTACTCTAACGCTTACTCTAACGCTTCTATCTACCGGCAACCTTCTCACCGCATCCACCACCTTCACCACCAGATCCCGCCACCACCGACCTATATCCAACCCGACAACAGACGAACTTACCGTCGCTTCCCCAGCCCGCAATATAACAAGGGTGTCCCTCCCTGATGAACTGGTTTGCAGTTTGCAGTCATTACGCTATTCTCTAATGATTTCCCGATCTTCATATGCTTTTGTGACGCGCTTCTGGCAACCACCTCACCGTATCCACCACCAAGTCCCGCCACCACCGACCTATATTCAACCCGACAACAGACGAACTTACCGTCGCTTCCCCAGCCCGCAATATAACAAGGGTGTCCCTCCCTGAACTGGTTTTCTGACTCGGGCAGACATATAGGGTTAACAAACTGTCCCGTCTTCACGCAGCGGCCTCCTTTGCGCTGAAGCTTGATGAGCGCGATGTCGTTGTTGGTCGAGTCGTGGTCGTAGAAGTACGTGAAGAAGTCGTCTATGAGGAAGTCTTCCTGGTAGGGCTCCCGCCGGGCGTAGTGGAAGTCTCCCACGCGCACCACGTACTCCTCCTTACGGTACCTGCAAAACGGACGGAAGATTAAGTCCCGCTAGAAATGGACGGAAAATTTGAGCGCCGGTGGCATACATCGTACGATGCATCTACGATGGAATTTTCTTTCACGACCATCGCGATGTGCGTCGTATGTTTTAGACAGAACTGATGTAGTACTTTAAAGATTAAGATACACGTACTCCTCCTTACATTACCTGTAAAGCGGACGGAAGGTTTGAATCGTCGGTCACATATAGTGTAAGATGTACCTAGATTTGAGAAGAAACGTGTGCAGTAGTGCTCCGATTGAACTACTAGTATATAGAAAGAAACCCCACCTGTGGAAGCAGTGTGCCGCTGTGACGACCCAGCAGTCGCCCACCAGGGTGGCCCCGCACGAGTGTCTTTTTTTTCGTTTATATAGCACTTTTCGTTTCCAAAAGCTGCCCGGTCGGGCCCCGGTTTGGAAATGTGACCTTAGCATAAGCTGAATATACAGAAAGAAACCCCACCTGTGGAAGCAGTGTGCCGCTGTGACGACCCAGCAGTCGCCCACCAGGGTTGCCCCGCAGGAGTGTCGCCCGTCCTTCAGCTTCAGACCCACCATCCATGGCCAGGCACCGTGAGTCGCCTCTTGCCCGCCCACAATCCGCTGCTGGCCTCGCCCGCCGGTCTGAGGTAGCACGTACCGCCGGCCGCACTCTCCTAAACAAAGATCAAGAAATACTTATATATTTTGACCACTGGCTTACCGCATAAGATCTGACAGACTGTTTCCAGGGCCTACACAGGCCAGTTCATCGGCTCCAGGGCCAACATGCCCCCAAGGAAATTATACCACTCGACACCACGCTGGGTAACTCCTAGCGTGTTATGGGCCTGGCAACCAGGCTAAGGAAAACTAGTATCTCATCTCATCTATATCCCTTAGTCTGACTTTTCGACCGTTGGGGTACAACAGAAGATCTGACAACCAGTTTTCATATGTTCTTCTTTAAGGTTTCAGTTAGTCTAGAGTGAGCACATCCTCACCTGAAACGTTGTCTCGTCAAAGTCGCACACGACCCCTGCGTCCTCCTTGTGGCTACAGTCGTGTGCCTGCCAGGCGGGATGCGAGCACTGCTCCAGACTGTCCTCCGTCCCCACGCAGTCCACGTTATCAAGCTGTATCACGCCTTCGCCGCGCCCGAAGTACGCACCAGTCCGAGCTAAAGCACGCCCGCTAAAGAACAGGGGAAGAAATGGGCTGTTTTTGTACTGGTATTTTTTTTAAGGCAGCCTGCAAAATGTTAACCGTCTGGCAAATTTATACTGTCCTTGCAGCCACCAAAAGACCTGCTTGGTGATTGCGCCCTTTAAAAAGGCACTTGACACGACTGCTCTCAGTGTACGGTGGTATCCTGGAGTCCAGCCTTGTTTAGCTTTAGTCCGCTCGCTTGTTTCAAAACACCACACCACATCGCCGAATAGCTTGTAGCTACGAAAGACCAAAGGTTCAAGTTCAACAAGGCTACATCGGGTAAGTTTTCACCGTTCAAACCCCATTTTCACTCTTCAAAACCCAATTTTCACCGTTCAAAACTCAATTTTTCACCCCTCAAAACCCAATTTTCATCCTTTAAAACTCAATTTTTCATCCTTCAGAACCCAATTTTTCATCCTTCAAAACCCAGTGACAACAGAGAACCGGTGAAACCTGCAGAGGATGGTACTCAGGCTGCTTATTTAGAAGAAACAAAGGGAAACAGATACTTACGTATATCCCAGCTGTCTGCAGACCACAGCAGCGTCCTTCTTGTCCCAGTGGTCGTCGCAGATGGTGCCCCACTGCCCACCGTGGAAGATCTCCACCCGCCCCTCCTTCTCATTGGAACCGCCCACCAGCCGGATCGGTAGGGCCTGAGAAGGGTTTAAGAAGGTTGGAAACGTTATAACC